AATAAAAAACAACACGTCCAGTGTCAAACAATTTAAAGCTTTACATATGAATAAAAAAAAAAAAAAAAAAAACATGAGGCCAATGATATCACAACACACAAACAGCAGTGCAGACATGCACATCAGTTAAATGCAACATAAATTAAACATGACACGCTTTAAGTAAAGCTTTAAATTGTTTGACACTGGACGTGTTGTTTTTTATTGTGAAGGAATACACTCGATACGTTCGGTATTATTCTGTTTGACTTGATCATGATGATGGGAAAGCAAGGTGAGCAGTAGCGAGCGAGCGCAGGGGAAGTAAAGTTGATTGATGTTTTTCATTTGGCAGCATTGAACTGCATAAAACAGGGATTAAACAATGAATGGATGTTTGAACTAGGGTTCTAAATGAGCAAACATGACTTTTGTAAGAATAAAACACAGTATTTTATTCCCTTCAAGTTTTGTCTGACCTCGTAAGTGTCGAGGGTGCATGATACAAGCACAATATTGTATAGCGCCTCCAACTCTTTTTGTTGATGATGCCAACCTTTTACTATTTATGTATAAACATTGGATACACATGGACATGTTGAGCAGTTGTAGATAACGGGCGACATCTAGTGGCTGAAAGAAAACAAGAAAAAAAAGAACTGCAGTGAGTTAAAATGTAATATGATATATGAACGTTAATGAAAATGAAATACATGTACAGTTAGGGCAAGTGCTACTGGCTGGAAGGTCAAGTGAATGACAGTACCTGCTGTGTCCTCAAGATACATCAATGTCTATGCCAAGTGAAATGGGCCAATGTGCATAAGAACATGTCGTTTAACTCCAGTTGTGGTACTGAATTCATTTTAATACACAAGCAAAGAATTGAATTGTGCAACCGGAGGAATTGTGTGGGAAACGACACTGCCTGGATCACTGCTGTACGCCAGTATATCCCTGGACACTCTCATAAAGCCCATAGTGTAGGACTTCACATTTTCGGACTTTGGCGACGCCTAGTGGCATCAAAAAAGACACTGTGGCAGAAAAACAATGCACCGTATAATGATGCAAAGACAAAAGCTTCTTCTTTTTCAAAACCTTTATTTCGGTAGTTCTAAAATTAAGACATTAAAAATGGCAAAACCCAACAGGCAGCAGGTGTCAAAAAACAGAAAACAATAATTGCAAACGATTTTTAAATCAATAACATTTAATAGTCTGTTGCAAACAAAATTAAACAGTAAATACAGCTACTAAATCATGGAGCAAGATAGTTATTGATTTTGGATTTTATAATGCATCATCACAGTTACAATAAGGATCAAACCCTATACACATACTATACGTACTTAAATGATCCATTAGATAATGGTCACTGTTTAATATATAGTAGTTGACAAAGGCTTTTTTTATTGATGGTCAGATTAAATGATTAGTTTGAAGTGGAATTCAATAGAATGACAGATGTATTTAACTAATACCTTGGTCAAATGATATGTATCAGTAAGTCACATTGGAGTTAGCCACATAGGACAGCACTCAGAAAGAACAGTTAAACAGTAGCAGATATTATTTTGTGACTGATGTTAACCGGGAATATACAATACTTACAATATTGTGAAAAACATTGTATGCGGGATAAAACAATTTGACAAAAAGCTCACGAAAAGAAATTACAATTTTGAAATTTAAATATCAGATCAACTCTCATATTAAACAGTGGCCACATACAAATGTAATAACAGCCAGTCATGTGACAGCTAGAGTGAGTTTACAGCTCCTTAGCACCAAGGTAACCAGAGGACAGAGGAAACACTCATGTTGCCTTTTAGGCTCTTTCTGACAAATTGCACCTCACAGAGCATTACTCTGTTGTACATAACCCATTAGCAACATAGGCATGTTTTTTTGTGATAGGAAAAGGGAAACATTCCCTCCAATGAGGATGTGACTCAGGAAATGGGGCAATATTATGGTCTTAAATTGCACCATCACTTTAATGTTCTGCTGTGCATAACCTACAAGCAGCATACATAAGCGTGCTTATGTGTTATTGGAAATGGGAAGTATTCCCTTCCAATGAAGAAGAAATGGGGCAATATTTGTATGATTGACAAAATGGACCAAAAAACAAAACCATAACTGTCACAAGCATCGATCATATCTTGCAAAATCACCCTGTATAGCCTTGTACATACAAGGTTATGATAACAACCTGCTCTTCTTTAACCCTGTCCTAAAATTCCTTTAACAGCCCAGACTGTGACTACCTGAACCCAAACCTTCCAATAGCACAGAAGTAGAATCTCTGCAGGAGTATTATTGTTCAGAAATCTTCTCATCTATATTGTTCCTCTGAGGATATTAGTTTTCCCATCAGGAAATAACAATGTTGTCACTGAACTGAACTGAATAGTAGGACTTTCAATGGAGATCTAGATGGTGTGGCTGATGTTTTAATACACGCTGAAGTTACGAAGCAGTTATAAAACTAGTTTGTGCTGGATTTCAAGGTTACATCCTCCACCTCTTGAAGCCCATCACCATGCTGCAGCCGTAGCATAGTGTCACCACAAATGCAAATACCTGGGACAAACAGACAAAAGGAGAGAAAGCAAAAACAACAATTGGTCAGACAAACCCAGTCAATTTTACTTGCATGTGCTAACTGCAACTTCATTAACTAACATTAAAAAGATGAATCCATTACTAGTGTCAACAGGCTCATCTTAAGACGTCTTTGTTTTTCTAATCAGCAGCTAAAACGACCTACTGGAACCTCACGTAACCCTACACATCCTACCGAACTTACTGTTTTATTAGTTGTAGCTGATAGCATGCGCACAATATTCTGTTTATTGAAGGACATGTATGGTCTTTCACATTCAAAAGTTGCATGCAAAGATAAAAACCCAAACAAGACAAAAAGCAGGGAGGATACTATGTTCATGCAGATGAGTCAGCTGAGGTGTTTCTCTGACAGCCTGAAAGAGTAACAAGGCTGATGTCAGATTTTAGTTTTACTTTAAAGATTATAATGAATTCACCTTTAGTAATAGCATGAGAACTATTATTATTATCTTTATTCTTTCAGGAACTACCCTACCTCAGCAAACAAAGTCAACAAAGAAGTTTGACATCGGGCCATATTGGGCTCCTTCAGACAGTACTGTGGGTGCGTTATGATCATATTAGTTCAAATGCACAAATGATGCATATGCACTGTGCTACAGACTTCATTTGAAACAATATATATAGCACTCACCGTGGCTGCAACATTAATACTGTACTGCTTCTCATTCATGACTGTGAATATATTGCCCCGAGGGTAGGTTATACACAAGACGGTCTCAGTGCTGTTGGGCAGTGGCTTGATGTTGGCTCCTCCATTAGCTGCTGTAGTTGCTGCCTCCAACACAAAGGCAGCAAAGTAGAAAAGCAAAGCCATAAAATGGTAAAACACATCCTGAAGGAAAAGAAGAGAGAACGCATTAGAAATAAATACCAAAAAAGTTCACGTAGGTGCAATAACGAGAGAATAAAAAAGTGATTTGGAAACCTTCCTATGAAGAAAGAATAAAGGTGGATTATTAGTCACAGAGGGAGAGAGAGGGAGTGTCAGAGAGTCAAGAAGGTTAATGAGAGTTTGTGCTGTCGACTGTGCGACCTGGGCGGGCCTACAGGCAGGCCTTTGTTGCCTTTTGGTGTGAGCTCATCATCCATGTCACTCATTGTTCAGCTGAAAACAAACAACCAACCCCACACGCCTGGCTACTCCTGGGAGCAAGGCCCGGAGCCTGAGGAAGGGCTTGTTGTGTCTGAGAGCCCAGACTTAACAGAGTACACTACAATGACATAAGACGACAGCATGGCACAGGTTCTCACTTTAATCTCTCATAGATATAATCATAGCAGTTACTGCACTATTAGAATATGCTCTACAATGATACAATCAGACTGTTTTCTAGTAGTGATTTCTTGTTATTTACATTTGATAAGCTATACGTCACATCTAGATGTCGGTTATTGTGGATTGATCTGAAGACTATTTGCTCAATTAAGCAATTAATCATCTAACAAGTTAATCTACTGTATAAAACATCAGAGAACAGAAAAAAAACACTCTTAAGTCACAATTACCAAAAGCCTGAAGTGATGCCATTTGCAGAGTCCCTTTAAATTTCAGTGCTAATTTCAGTCTGGTTATTTTTTCGTGCCAGGTCAACCCTAGACAGATCGACTGCACGCTAAAAAGACAGACAGCTAGACAGCTGTGCATATATCTAGCTCGACTGATAGATGGAAGGATGGATGAATGCATGATTGGAGGGATCAGACGGCCAGACGAGTAGGCTGACTAATCTGACTGATCAGCTATCCCGCTGTATCGACATCTCACCAAGACATTCCAGTCGGTGTTGATGCGGTCAGCCAGGCCGGTGACGAAGAGCAAGAGGTAGGCGGAGGACAGGAGGAAGGTGGTGAGGGACACAAACATCACCCAGCCCTGCAGCAGAGGCACGGGCATGTTGGAGGAAGCCACCAGGATCCATACCAGACCCCCAAATAACTGGGGATAGAATCAAACATTCACATTGGTCATCATGTTGAAGAGGACTCAGCAACATAGTCACAGGCTTGTTGTCAACTATTTATGATAACTCGAGATATGTAGCCTGTATTGCACCTACGAATGCCAAATCTAAAATCTGTATACGTCACTGATATGGAAATCATCGGAATATTGTGAATGTAAAGTGACCTGTAACAGCTGTGACTCAATGAATATCACCACGTCTGTTGGTGCATCAAGAACTTACGAGGTTTCGCATTATCTGAAAATGTTGCTTATAATACACTCTGCTTTTCACACCAGTGTTGTCTCCTGCTAACAGCACTGGGATCGGTGACAGAATCCAAGGCAGAGCAACACATGTGATGTTTGACATGGTGTATTTTGGACATATAGGGGCAAACATGAAGTCAACACAGTGGATTAAAACACGAAAGAAGATGGTGTTATGGAACTTCACAACTATCTATAGCCATACCTCCTGTGATTAATGCGTTGGGAAAGACGTTAAATGGGTGCAGCTAATAACAGCCACAACCCGGCATTTAAATTGCACTCTTTCCATCTGAGGGCCTATTATAATATATATGCAGGCACTGAACTGCAAACAGGCCTATAGATAAGTAGTCAAATCATCATTTGCTTAAACAGCATGTAAAGACACCGTTAAATACTGTGATGTTCATTAGAAATGAAGCCTTTTACAGGCCTGCACTGGTCTATGACACAGTCTTGGCGACATTGCTCGAGGCGACATTTGCCCTTGCTTTGGCTGTCAAGCGAAAGTAAAAAAGAAAAGAAAAAAGAAGTGAGGCAATGACAGTGAAGATCAGTGTGTTCACGAGGTTTAAACAGTGAGCAGTCTGCACATCACAGATGAACAGCCTGACAACATATAAGGTCATTAATTATTGATAGTGACGAAAGGTCCTGCAGAGTAGCCTGTTACTACAACAGCACTGAGGTCACTGATAAGACTATAACACGCAGCTGTTACATAAATAAGCTCTCTATTCAAAAAAAATCACACTTACTATTTCTACACAAATGAGGGCTCCAGAGTAAGTTCTGAATACTTCCAGTCCCAAAGGTAGGGAAACAATTGGTGCTGGGAACGAGGTGGCAGCGGGATTAGTGGCTGGTTCCGACATCTCTATATCGCCCTCTCTCTCTTCTCTCTAACTCCCCCTCTCCTCTGGCTCTCACCCTCCGTCTCCCACTGAAAACACTCCGTCGGACAAAGGACGGGAGCAGCGGGGGAAATTCCTCCGGAGTCATGTGGCCCCCTGGAACAGGTCGGACAGGTGCAGGTGCCACTCCCTGGAAACCAGCGCTGCATTCAAGGACCTCACGGAAGCTCCTACACCCAGATACTCCTTTCATAAATGCCGTACAACGTGGACACCAGAACTTAAGTGGTTTAAATTGCTTGTGATGATGATTATAATAGATCATAGATGGAGTAGATTAAATTATACCCATACATTTAAAACAGATGATCATAATCCATCCAACACCATAGCCTATCATTTATTATCTAAGATAAATAAACTATTTCAAAGCCCTCTGAGACACATACAATACATCATGATAGTCAAACACTGTCAGGGATCAATGAGTACTTTTACTTTTGATACTTTAAGTAGGTTTTTGGTAATAATACATTCACCTAAGTAAGTATATGAATGCAGGACGTTTACTTGTAGTGGAGTTTTGTCGCTGTGTTGAGGCAGGATGAAGCCGATAAAATGTGATAAAAAATCCTGAAACTAAGATTTTAATGAATTTATTAGGTAGAAGTTGCTTTTAGAGAGGGAGGCTTAAATCCATTGCCCATAATGAATTACAATCAAATGTATTTTCATCTCCGTTCAGAGAAGCCTTGAATTGATATAAATGTATTTCAAAGGTTATAACATGCCAATAGATTTGATTTTGGCCTAATAAATCTGCTGTCTGCATCAGACATAAGTAAGGTAGTATATCAATTATGTTATAAAAAACTTCAGGGTGTGTTTGCAATGATGAAACACCATTGACGGATTGCTCCTTTACTCCTCCAATTGTTTACATGGTTTTATGCTCTCCACACCCTAAATGTCAATTATTGATAACTGCGCAATCATTCACATTATAAATGGTATATTCATCTTGTATTTCTGGTAATTCCAACATCAACTGAAGGCAGCAATTTTACTCCCATTTTGTCTGCAGAGAACAGAAACATTAGTGAGAGGAAAAATCAAATAGTTGGAGTCATGGCTATACTGATGACATTGATTTCACTCTGAGGCTAAGAAACAATGGCATGTGCACTGGTTAACTTTCCCAGTGCATGAGCAAATAAGTTTGAAAAGTAAATATTACCTTAAAGGTTAGCGTAACAGCTGAGGAGAGAAGGGAACATATTGCCAAAGCAACATTTACCATGTTTGCACTAAAACATGGAACTGAAACGTTAAGTATTGGAGGGTATTTTGTTGGGAACACAGTTTTTCTTCATCAAACGGTGACGTCAAATTGCTATGTTGTTAATTCAGTTGGTGAGCAGTTTCTTATAATCCACATAGAGTTAATGTTTAGCCAGGACTTGGTTTATGTGAACCAATGTTGATATAACCTCTTAAAGGGCACTGAGCTTAGTTCACTTTAGTGGCTGGCAGTTAGAATCAATACGACCGGTATAAGACCCCTGTATCCTGACATGCAATAAAAGACAATTGTTTAAAAGATCAGCACTGCTAGATTAGAAATCTTTTTCAGGGCTGATTCTTTTTTTTTTGAGCATCAAAGAAGTTTTGAAATCACGTATTTGTCACAGTTCACATGGAAAGTCATTTAGTCTCCGGTTAGTCTATGGAGGCCGCACAGTCATCTATGGAACAACAGGAAGCCAGATTTAAATAAGTAAATTGTGAAATATAACATGAGTCTATAAATTATATAATTTTCCGGGTTTTTATTGTTCATTTTA